TCATGATGTAACTCACACGTCCTGCTTGTCTCATGTTTTTTGACTTTCTGGAGTCTAACTAATCAATAATCTTCCTTCACTCCACTCTGAGGACTATGCCCTGCATCAGAGCCTTCGTAGTCTTCTAACTTCCTTATCTCTTTTCTCTCAACTTTATAGAGATCAACACTCTTTTCTCCAACTTTATAGAGATAGTTCCTAGAAGCTCATTTCCCCATCCATAGACTCATTCTACAGTCCAGAGCCTCTTCAGATTCCACCTCACTCCCTTTTCTGAAACTTGGCACTGTTCACTCTCTTCTTTTTGGTTCTTGAAACTTGCTTTCCTCCATGACTTCGCTCCTTGGCTTCACTTCTGCCCAGCCAGAAATATGGCTCACAGTTCTCTCCATCATCCCATTGTTTTCTTTCTTCTTTAAGCTCTTTACAAGGTATCTGAAGCACATCTATTTACTAATGATTCTCAGATTATCCAACTTCTTTCCTCTATTCTCAAATTAGACAACTAACCAGTTACTAGCCATTTCTACCTGAATGTCCCTCAAGTATTTCAAAACAAAATGCCCATGTGGTGGCTCATGCCTGTAATCCTAGACTCTGGGAGGCCAAGGCAGGTGGATGGCTTGAGCTCAGGAGTTTGAGACCAGCCTGAGCAAGAGTGAGACACCATGTCTAAAAATAGCCAGGCATTGTGGCAGGTGACTGTAGTCCCAGCTACCAGGGAGGCTGAGGCAAGAGTATGACTTGAGCTCAAGAGTTTGAGATTGCTGTGAGCTATGATGCCATGGCATTCTACTGAGGGCAACTAAGTGAGACTCTGCCATAAAACAAAACAAAACAAAATGTCCCTAGACCTATTAGAATGGCTAGTATCAAAAAACCCAGAAAAGAGTGAAGGGCACACTTAAAACTTTGGTTTAAAATGTACAAAAGCTAATTGTGTAACCAAAATGTGTTTACTCCTGTAATATTCTGAAGTTTTAAAAATCCTCCCCAAATATTGAGTGTTGGCAAGGATGTGGGGAAATTGGAACACTTGTGCATTGTTGGCAGGATCATAAAACCGTGCAGCTGGTATTGAAAAGGTCCCTTAAGAAGTTAAAAGTAGAATTATTGTGTGTCCAATAATTCTCCACTGGGCACATATACAAAAAAAACCAAAAACATGATCTCAAAGATGTATTCATACACCCATGGTTACAGCAGTATCAATTACGATAGCTAAAAAGTGGAAGCAATACAAATGTCCATCAACGGATGAATGGATAAACAAGGATAGTGTAAAGATACCATGGAATAGTATTCAGCTTTAAGAAAGAAAGAAAATTCTGACACATGTTACAGTACTGATGAACCCAAAGACATTATGCTAAGTGTAATAAGTACATCACAACAAAGCACATATGGAATGATTCCACTTACATGAGGTATCTAGAATAGTCGCCTCATGCAAGGTAGAATGGAGGTTTCCAGGGTATGGGGAAAGGGGAGAAGAAACCGGGAGTTAGAGTTTCTCTGGGCTCAAAGTTTGAGTTTTGAAGTGAAAAGTTTTGTACATTGGTTATACAATAATTTGAATGTACTTAATGCCACTGGTCGTGAATTTTACAGTGGTTAAGGTGGTAAATTTTCTGTGTGTAGTTTACCACAATTAAACAAGCAAAACCATACCTTTTTTTTTTTTTTTTGAGATAGGGCCTCAAGCTATCCCCTGGGTAGAGTGCTGTGGCATCACAGCTCACAGCAACCTCCAACTCCTGGGCTCAAGCGAGTCTCCTGCCTCAGCCTCCCAAGTAGCTGGGAACCACAGGCACCCACCACAACACCTGGCTATTTTTTGGTTGCAGCCATCATTGTTGTTTTTTGGTGGGCCTGGGTTGGATTCGAACCTGCCACCTTAGGTGTATGTGGTTGGTGTCTTAGCCACTTGAGCCACAGGTGCTGAGCCACAAAAACATATCTTGACTGAACTTATTACCCAATTTGCTTCTTTTCTGGTTTTACAAATGTCAGTGACTGCCATTTGCCTGTCATTCAAACAGAAAGCCAGCACATTAACCTGAAACCCTTTTTCTGCCTTACTCACTCTGCTAAGCTAATTACCAAACCCTTTGGCACTATCTTCTTGACATCTCTTTTTCCACCCCACAATGTCCATCTCCTTTATTGTTGTCTTTATCTGTTCTCCCCAGAATAGTTGCTGGTGCTATTTTCTAACTGCTCTCTCTGCCCCAAATCTTGCTCCATTTCAAATTATTTCCACATCTCTACTGGAATCGTCTTTTCTAAAACCCAGATGTGAACAAATTATTTCTACTACCAAAAATACTTTAATAGTTCCCAATCGGCTGCTGCTCTTTGGGCTTGGAAAATAATACTGTCCTTCATCTGTCCATTCCTTTCTTTTATAGTTTCTTGCTCCTAGTAAACCATTTGCAGTTCCCGAGTACATGTTGTGCTGGCTTATGCCTCTATGCCTTTGTTCTTGCTGCATTCTCTGGACTGCTAAGGATCCTCCTCCCCATCCTGTCCACCTGGTGAACACCTGGTTTTCTTTGAAGGCAACTCAAAACTCATATCCTATATGAAAGTTTTTCTGACCACTTCCCTTCTTCCTTCATTCAGTCAGAATTTATTTTTCCTTTTTAATAACTCCTATGCATTTTTTAAAAAAATTCATTGCTTCTGTAATACTGGATTTAAACCTGATTTGCACTTGTTTGTTTTGCATATGTGGGTACTTTTATTTCATCATCATCATCATCATCATTATTATTATTATTTTGGCCAGGGCTGGGTTTGAGCCTACCACCTCCATCATATGGGGCCGGTGCCCTACCCTTTTGAGCCACAGGCGCTGCCCTCATTATAATTATTTTAAGGTCAGGGCTGTGGCTTATTTTTTCTTATGTCCTCATGTCCAAAGCAGCCTCTAGAATATTGTACATGATTATTAAAAATTGGTTGAATATATTATTTATTATATGGATATTAATCAAACATTCATCTGACATTTATTCAGCACTTATGTTCTAGGTGTTGGGGATACCAAACATATAGTGAATAATTTAGTAAAACAGATATGTTTAGATATGTTAAAGAAAATAGGTGTTAAAATCTACCTCACCAGCTCGGCGCCTGTGGCTCAAGCTGCTAAGGCGCCAGCCACATACACCTAAGGTGGCGGATTCGAATCCCCAGCCTGGGCCCGCCAAACAACAATGATGGCTGCAACCAAAAACTGGCCAGGTGTTGTGGCGGGCACCTGTAGTCCCAGCTACTTGGGAGGCTGAGGCAGGAGACTCGCTTGAGCCCAGGAGTTGG